CCCACAGGCCACAGAGTTCAGCCGGGCAGGAAACTTGTCCAGCTGCATGTCTGTTTGCAAGCCAGTTTCTGTTCTGCTGCGGAGCAAGCTGTTTCACCAGCGGAAAGGGGAAGCATGGACTGGCTCCGGCTGGAGTTTGAACCTGGCAGGGAGTAGGCGGGGCACAGAATGGGTAGGGCACAGGTGGGGCACGGAGTGGGCAGGGTACGGTGGATGTTGAAGAATACAGGTGAGGTAGACAGAGGTCCAGGCAGCCAGGAGAAAGAAGATGGAGCATGGCCACCTTCCCTCGCTTTGCCTCTCTTTGACCTCCTCAAAGGTATCTCTTGTCTTCTGCAGTCCTTGTGAGCTACCAGGAACCCCTCTTCTCAAAACTGAAGTCACTATTTCTATTGTCTTTGCAGGCACAGGATGGAAGAATGTTGAGGGTCAGAAGGAGGGAACAAGAAAGTGTAAGTGGACAGGCCAGCAGTGCTGCCTGAAGAGGTGTGGGAGGAGGTTTCCCAAGGATGCAGAAGGCAATCAAATTTCCAGTTGGGGAGAATGTAAGAGCCTGAACAAGGGGAGGAAGTTGTGACTGTGCCCTTCATCCTGACAGCTCCTTCTTGCATTCTGGACTGGGTCTCAGGACTCAGACTCTCATATTTTACTGGGTCCTACTTCGCAGCTCCCCCCTCTCTTATTTTCCGTGGTCTGAGAGTGAGTGCCATTCCTTCCCTACTCAGCTTCTGCCCTACTTCTGAAATGCACAAATGAACATGGCAGTACTTGGTGCCCCACCCATGCAGGGGCAAGGAGGGCTTCACTGTCCTCTCTCAAGTCCAGGGTGACCTCAGGGTCACTTATCCACCTAAAAATACCTGACAAGTACCTACCAGATCCCACATCTTGATCCTGGCAGGTAACCCTCAGGCCTATGGTACTGTGGGGTAGGCAGGAAATCACTAGGAGATTCGGAAATACGTAGAACCCTGCCAGGATAGAAGGAAGCCAGGCTGGGGAGCTAAGTGCCTGGTCCCCCTGTCTTCCTGGAGACTGGATAAGGGTCTTAACCTCAAACTGCTCTTAAGAGTCCTAGGACAACTGGCCTTGGTCTCTGTTTCCCAGTTTCCAAGGGGCTCACAAGGCCCAACACCACAGAAGTTCCTTCTCACTGTCCTGAATGCAAGTAATCTGCATGCCAAAACCACCCATTCAATCAACCTCTGGTCTGAGTGAGGGCAGCACTGACTGTCCCTCCTGAGACTTCTTAGTAATGCCAAGTCTCTTCCTGTTCCCAGGAAATGTGGGGGTTGGAGCAGAAGTATATGCAAACTGGTGTGGACAGCGGTTCCAGGATAGTGGGCTTTGGCGGAGGCGGGGGCAGGGGTGGAGGTGCAGGTGGTGGCCGGGTGGGCGGTGGCCTCCTGGAGAACGCTAACCTGCTCCTCTAGGACCATTCTGGGGAGTGGCCTGTGACAGCAGGCGAGGAAGACCAGCAGGTTCCTGACAGCATCGATGCGTGCGAGATCTTCAATATCCTCTGTTGCTGGGCGTGGGGCAGGTTTGCGGGTCTTTGGGAAGGAGCTGCAAAGTCCAACAGTTGATGGATATGTATTTCGGTCAGGTTTTCCTAGCCAAGAGTTCTGAGTGAGGGGAAACATAAAGTCCTTTTTCCTTCATTTGACACATCTTATCCAATCCATCAATGACCCGGAGCATCCACTGACGCTAGAGGAGTTGAACATAGTAGAGCAAGTTAGGGTTCAAGTGAGTTACTCCCAGTGACAAGAGCAACTAGTTAGCGAGAGTCAGACTCCACTATACAAGAAGTAGTGACATTTTCTCAGCTCACGGACACCCAGGGGGATCTTTGGAGGAAAGATTCTTGTGCCCATTTTATGAATGTTGAAACTGAAGCCTGTAAAGTTTAGACGACTTGCCCAAAGCAGCAAAGAAGAGACCCAGAGGGTTGGAGGTGTCTGTGATCCCTGATGTCTGTTCCTCACTACCACCAGGTTAGTGATCCCGACAGCACAGTGGCCGTGGCCTTTACACCCACCATTCCACACTGCAGCATGGCCACCCTTATTGGCCTGTCCGTCAAAGTCAAGCTGCTGCGCTCCCTTTCCCAGCGTTTCAAGGTCAGTTGGAGTTGAGCCTCGCGGGTGAAACAAGTGTAAGGGTCTGCTACTGACACAGAGGGCAGCAAGAGCAAGAGCATCACAGTGGGGTCTAGAAGGGCTGCAACTAGCAGAAATGATATGGAGGAAACGTTCCAATATGGTGGAAAAAGGATAAAGACATGAGCTGAACAGTGCAGAAAAGTAGTGAGGAGTGTGGCAGGAAGGGAATTAGGAAGCTGTAGATGGATGTGGGTCAGGGATGGGCTGTGATTTGGAGAGTTGGAGTGGCTGTGGGTGAATTTGGGGTGTAATGGAAGAGGTAATCCAGAGGTGTGATTAGGAGTCGTCAGTTGGAGGAGGTACACTAGGGTCTGCGGGGAGGAGACAAAAAGGTGGTTGGATGATCAGGCTGAGATTATCTCTCTCCCAGATGGATGTGCACGTTACTCCATGGACCCATGCCTCGGAGCATGCAGGTAAGTGTGAACTGATGGCATTGCTGATGTCCTAGGGTCTTAAATTGTCTGCAGCTTCCCCTTGCTGGAGTTGTTTGTAAGAGGATTAAGGTTGGGGACAAGGCAAGTGAAATTGCCAGAAACTCTTCAGTGAAGGTGGTAGCCTAGACCAA